GAGAGTACTGAAGAGAGGAGACAGGAATATAAGGAGACGGGACGTAAAGCAAAGAGGGAAGTAGCTAAGGCAAATCAGATGGCGTACGATGAGTTGTATGGGAGACTGGGCACTAAAGAGGGTGAGAAGGACTTGTACCGATTGACAAGACAGAGGGATCAGGCTGGAAAGGATGTGCAGCTGGTTAGGCTTATTAAAAATAGGAATGGTAATGTTCTAACAAGTGAGGAGAGTGTGATGGGAAGATGGAAGATTACTTTGAGGAGCTAATGAATGAAGAGAATGAAAGAGAAAGAAGAGTAGAGGTCATAGAAACTGTGGACCAGGAAGTGGGAAAGATTAGTGAGGGTGAAGTCTGGAAAGCTCTGAAATGAATGAAGAAGGTGAAGGCAGTAGGACCTGATGACATACCAGTGGAGGTTTGGAAATGTCTTGGAGAGATGGCAGTGAGGTTTTTGACTAAATATTCAATGGCATATTTGAGGGTGAGAAAATGCCTGAGGAATGGAGAAGAAGTGTACTGGTTCCCATTTTTAAGAACAAGGGTGATATACAGAGTTGTAGCAACTACAGGGGAATTAAGTTGATGAGCCACACAATGAAGATCTGGGAGAGAGTTGTGGAAGCAAGACTTAGACGAGAGGTGACTGTGAGCAGCAGTATGGTTTCATCCCAAGAAAGAGTGCCACAGATGCCATCTTTGCTTTGAGGATGCTGATGGAGAAGTACAGAGAGGGTCAGAAAGAACTCCATTATGCCTACGTGGATTTAGAAAAAGCATATGACAGAGTGCCAAGGGAGGAGGTGTGGTATTGCATGAGGAAATCTGGAGTGGCAGAAAAGTATGTTAGACTGGTATAGGACATGTATCAGGACAACAGGACTGTGGTGAGATGTGCTGTAGGAGTGACAGATAGCTTTAAGGTGGAGGTGGGATTGCATCAAGTATCGGCTCTGAGCCCCTTCTTGTTTGCTCTGGTGATGGACCGACTAACAGACCTGTTTTGTATTTGTTAATAATTTTTCTATCCTTAACATGTGT